GTTTGAATACGTTTTTAATGTAACGGTCGAGTTTATTATCATAGCATTTTAATGACGTTTAGTCCGTTTTGTATACATCAATCCGTAACTTCTGTTTTCCTCGTCTTGACGTCTTAGGTCTAATACACGTTCTAATACACTCTAGTGTGTTGTTTATTCTTATTAACACCAATAAATAACCATTTGTTTCGTTATACATTCTTTTATCATTGGAAAGGGATTGATTGATTGAACTTCATATGATTAAACTAGTATGCCTTTCAATTTAAGTTTTTTTATGTAAGATTAATCGAAAACAAACAAGACAGCTTTAGCAGTTTTATCGACATGACTGATTTTTACAAGTGTATCCTTTATAATGTCGTAAAAACGCTATCAATAAATCGAATTTAAAAAAATGGGGTAAAAACGCGGTTTCGTGGGTAAAAACGCGTGCCTCATAACGCGGTTTCTGACAGATGAGGGAAATAACGAAGCCGACGAAACGGTTGGTAAAGTATCGTCGAACTGAAAATTGAATGGTACAAAAAAATGGGTTTTGACCGTTACAAGTAACAAGTAATATTTTCTTTACATAAGTCTATTTTTTTACTATCGAAAATAAAAACCGACTTCAAATATATCGCTCTGTATTCATTTTATAATTGATTTTCAGGAGTTCCCTATCTCCGGAGTCCAAGATCAAATACCAATGTAAATAATATGGGACCACATGGGAAGCATCAGCTTTCTAATAAAAAAGAATAATGAAAATCAGTTCTCTCAGTCGAAAGTTGTAAGGTAACAAACAATACAATCGATTTGAGAACCTCCTCCTTAATTGAAGTCGGTTGATAAAATGTTATGTTATTCGTTTTCGTGAATATAATAAATTTACGTCTATGAGTTGTAAAGGTAACAGTAGAAGTTTTTTAATGTAAAAAAAAAAACGTTTATAAGAAACATTTTCGATATTATTCACTTCAAATTAGACACTTGACTTGATTATGAACAATTAGCCGGTGATATAATCCCGCAAACAGTCCTAATTTGTTTGTCAAAAAAATCTCTATATCACGTTCGACTTTAACACGGAAATAACGGCCCATTGCGAGGGTTAAATTCCACACTGTCGGAAATTAAAAAAAAAATTCAATACACCCATCCAACGTGTCTAACCCTTTCACCGTGCATAAAAAGACCAATTTTATATGCGGACCCGGTGTCTCATTTCAATATGGCATAATGAAAAAAAAAAGATAAAACTTTTTTACCCACGATTCTTTGGGGTCACATTTTTTTACGGCTTGAATACTTAATTTGCAACAAGGTGCATCGGGCAGGGGATACATCGAGATGTTCAAATGAGTTCTATAGAAAAAAAAAACGAAAGGGTTGCCAGTTCGGGGGCACCGGTGATTTTTTCCCAGAGCCTTCACAAAAGATGCTGGGTTTGTTTGACGTTGATGGACCGGGGCTCTATTGTTGATGGTCTAGTAATTTTTCGACCCACAAAGCATGTGTATCCTGGCATACTTCTTAATGCTTTCTTAATAATTTTCTAATTTCGTTAAGTCAACCTGCCATGATTTTGGAAATTTGTAGACACAGTCTAGAAATTGTTTAAAAGAACTTATTCATCAAAATTCTTTGTGGCCATCATTCTAAAATTTCGTAGGAATCTCAATTTAGTTAAAATATACTTTGATGTTATTGTATGAAGTAGTCTTGTACGTATTTAGGAAATTTTTGTACATTTGCCATTGTTTTTATTCTATTCAATAAAGAAAACTTTTTAAATCTCAATATTAAATATTAAATTATTACTCTCAATAATAAATTTAGCCTAAGCATCATAAAATCCCCTCGAGAAAGTACAAGAAAAAAGAATTCCAACAAAAAAACTTTCGCTAGAGAAATGTTTTCTCTACATTTTAAATAAATTTTCCGACTATTGGAATAAATTGTCGCTTTCATACATACATAGGTATTATCAGAATTTTAATCTTTTTACGCAGAAAATACTAACTGTATAATGCAACTAAACTAAAATTAACTTTATTAATTATTGGATTCCGAGCCGATTTTTTTTCAATAATTTCACAATCGATAGGACTCGGTGCCAGGGTTTTTATCTGAAAAGGCCTATGAAATCTGAAACTAATTACGTCATTTTTTTATTATCTTAAGAGTTTTTGTTCTAAGCCAGTTAATAATGTTGTAGTAGGACTTATTGATGGTTACTTTTTTGAATTGATTAATTTCGAGAATTGAATTCGAAAAGACAATGATATTTCAAAGAACCAGGTCGGAGTGTATATTATGTTATTACATTAGTCTCATAATTACTTTGTGAGGAATATGCAAAGCAATTTATTTATTTGTATTTAGCTAACAACAGTTTTACTTCCTACATCTGTTGTTTTAAAGACACGGAATAAGACTCATAGAGTGTGGTAGGGTCACGTGGCAGCTTCTGTTATCTTTCTGCACGAATGAGTGGGGAAATGGGGGCTTTAATGGTTGGCAATACATCTGCAACCCGTAAGGTGTTGTAAATGTCCATTGGGCAACGCATCTGCAACCCGTCAGGTATTTTAGATGTCTATGGGCGGCGTTAATCACTTAACATCAGGTTCTCGCGAGCTCGCTTGTCAATTTGTCACATAAACATGCTTGCGTTCAAAAACATTGCGTCCCGCTCCAAGGCCCAAGCTCCGGCAGATAAGAGCACGAGATGTAGCGTTGCATTTTAATCTGTGCCGCATTCTCGAGTAATCACGATCGCGAAATCTCATCTTCGCGCGTAGAGCTCGTGGTATGACGAAGGCTTGTTCGAAAGGTTAAGAGTAAAGGTAAACACCGCAAGGCTGCGTTCGCAATCAGAGGGCAACCGTTACTATAGATAGGGGACGTGTGGCCGCACGAACTCCGCCTGTACGGTTAGCAGATGAGAAATGTATATATATTTTCTTTTCTACAAACATAGAACAACTAAATGAATGCCTTTCGCTCTAAACGCGATAAAATTTTAAAGTAATAAGTAATTATAAATTTGAAAATGTTTTGTTTTTGCGTCATCGTTTTTATAAGTCGTTGTCATCATTGTTGTAAGATAGTAAATGATGAAGATAAGTTGCTGAAAATGTAGTCGACGGATACGTCCAGAAAGATCAACTATTCATTTGTTTTATAAGCAGACCTGGAGACAAGTTATATTAACATGTTAAATAAACATTTTTTCATGAAATTTACACGGTTTCTACCTATTGAGAATATCTGAAGCAACATCTGGAAGCAATGAGAATGGAGCTTATGTTTATAAAAAAGCTTTACGTGTGTGTGTGTGACCAGCGTGAAGTAGTAGCGTTCGTTACTTGCCTAAGCGTTCTGCGAGTGAGGTAACCTGGGTACTCTCTCAAAAGTTGACAACCTCACGGGAGTTTTCGATTTCCATAGGTGAGCCAACTTCTCATAAAAAAAGATGAAAGTTATTATTTATTTGCAGTTAGTACACTACTACAAGCGTACGCGTACCTCTATCACAAGCGGGCAATTTTAGAGCTCTGTCCTGTACAGGATTTCCCTTTGCGACGTGTGCCTTCAAACAGGAAAATGTAGCCCCCTCTACGCCCCCTCCCGCTGCTTAGTTGACGAACATAAGCTGCGGTGTCGGCTAAGAGCGCAAGCGATTTGGTGTTACGTAAGAAATATTATCGGGAATATTTTGCCTAGCCAACATAAACGGAATTTTATACAGCCTTAACGAATAATTAACGAACCTCATGTCATGATTGAATGCCTCCGTAGTTCTCATTTGTTGGCAAAGTTGACAAACATACAGTATGTAGTTAAGATTAAAATTTAAGCAAGATCTAAAGTTTTACTTGTATATTCACGAAACCATAACAGTACTTTAGCAGGAGGATGTGTAAAGAATGGTTTAATACTTAAAAGGCTGTGTTTCACTGTCCAACTTACTAAAGAAATTCGAGTCAGCGCCTGTTATGCTTATCGTCGATTCAATGAAAAACTAATCTTGCGTAATGTCTTTAATAAGTGTCGTGTTATTTTTAATTAATTCGCCCGTAACTTGAGTCGTCTAACTAAGCCCGCAAGAGCCACCCTGCTTAGGCGACCAAACAGCAGGGTGGGCTATGTACCATCGCATGATATATAGTGCCCCTTAAACTTAAACGGATTACCTTTGATATATTACTCGGATTCCCAATTCAATCCCGGATAGTCGATCTCTCACTTCGCTTAGATGTGATTGGATTTTGAGCGAGAAACATTCCCGTAATTACGTCCAAGAAACTGATACCTCGCGGCATGGGTAAATGATGACTTGACATTTTTTATTTTCTGCATTCAGTTTTGCTTCTTATGCAAGCGGCTGCTCTGTCTTATTTTTTCTCGTAAAGGAGTAAAGGTTTATATAGTTATATCAGATTATAATTATCCCTTGTACGTTTCAGTACAAGGAATAATTATAATCTGTTAGTAGTGCTTCCGTAATTTTAAAGAATGAATACAATTTGGTAAAGAAATGTCTGTAGGTCATCCGGTAGGTTAAGTACCTTAAGTTATGGAGTAATCTTGTAACCATCTATCTTCATGAACAAAGAAATACACCTCATAGATAATATATATAACTAGCTTTTATTAAAGGAAACCATATTAAAGGGAGAAACAATTTAATGTCGGTGAAAGGACTTTTTTTAATTTCCATTCGAAATAACGTTATCACAAACAACAAAGACAGTTAAAAAGATATATTTGCATATTCCATTTTGAGTATTTTAATGTAACTCTTCGTTCTTTTATACACATTCAAGAAATCTTTAAAGATTTGTAGCCTATACAAGATAAATCATAGCTGCCTCCTTCGACGATTTCGTCTAGAACCTAGAAAGAATATTCCAGAACCGAGCGGTTAGCGCGGCCGTGTTTAGAGTGTAAGCGTTTCATCTATTTCAATTTCTGCACCATTTCACAGCGTCAGGTGGGAGGGCTCGGTAATGGCGGACCCACCCGGCCCTCCGCGGGTCGGTTGCCGGGATACTAACCACAATAGAGGGGTACGCATCACACGTCCTTTCATCACTTGCCAAGAGCGAAGGGCACGCGGCGCGCGATCTACGAAACTCATTTCGGACGCGGCCTCTACGTCGGCATACCGATTAAGGTAACGACGGGAGTTTAATTCTCTGTTAGGAATCGACACGTGATTTTTTAATTAATTTTTATCTATCACACAGAAATAAGTGCATAATAACAAGCATGTATTAGTATATAGGAAATGCGTACGCATTGATAACAGTGCATTAAGTAGATACGTAAATTTGCATTCACTACTACGAGAATTGTAAAAAATACGATTTTTCGGTGAAAAATTAATGGTGGATGTATACCATTTATACCATATAAAATCATTATCCCGTGCGTTGACATTCAAACTTGGGATTTAATAATTGCAAAGATATACAATTTACTTCTCAGTCCTATATTCATATAAGCCTGTATTCCTAAAAAATAAAAAAAATGCACTTAAAGTATATTTTGTAATTTAAACGTGTAAAATGTTTTCCATTAAGGCTTGTTTATCAAATAACATTTTATAGGCGGTAACATTATGAAACGATATGTGGATACAAAAGCTAACGTTCAATGAGGAGTAAGCAAGGTTCATATGTGAACGTTGCCTCATCCAAAAATCCAACGTTGGAGTCTAGACCTCGCTTCTTGGATGCAGGGCGTGTACATGAGGGTACGGGAGGCGGCGCGTGGACAGGCATTTGAAATGAAGAGTGCTCCACAACTAGTCTCTCTGTCCTCTGTTGTCTTGCTGTGTGGAAGCGGACTTATTTAACTAAAGCTTTCATTCATATGTTGCCTTTAAGAGTGGGTCGATTATTTATTAGTACGGAAGTCACCAGACGAAACGCTAGTTCATGAAGTGTATATACTATGCGACTAATGTCTGCTTTATAACCAAATATCGAATCGAATTTAAATGAATATCAAAAATATCATATTTCACTAGTGTGTGTGGAAAAAAAGATAAAGGAAGTAAGAAAAGAATGATACACATGTAAGATTACATTTATTTATTATATCAAATGACTTACCTGAAACTGACCTTTAAGAATAATTTCTAAAGCTTTTACTTCAAAAGGAATCCTTTATCGGACTTGAGTTGGTACAAAGAGGTACAAAGGTTGGTAAAAGGATTTAGCCACATTTAAATATATAGCATACACAAGCAGGTGGCGGGGTCATTCGCATGGTTTCGTATATAACAAAATAATTAATAGTAATATTACTTTTAAAATTAATTCCGCCGCCCCAGCGCCAAAATTGTCTGTTCATTTGTCTGAAAAAAATCATATTTAGTATTACTGTATGCATCAGAAATTCAATTGTAATCCGTTGACCGTTTATATCGTCTCGAACTAACATACACACCAACAAAGTATATTATTCCAGAGTCCATTTCCATACTTGTCAGACATTAGCCGTGAGGGTAGTGTACTCCTCATATCTTGAGCGCCCGCCCGCCACGTCGCCTCCTAATGGTGGACCGGGCGTTTATATTGAAATACCCCGCCGAATTGTTATGTATGCCCGGTGCGGCGTGGGTGCGGTGACCTCGATGCAGGTATGCGTATATTCTTAATGAGCCTGGAAACTATAGCTTAAACGCTGGCTCCGTCTCCGTTAAAGCTTTGCGGAGTGATCTGAAAGCGAAAGCAACACCCATTAACATTAACATTAGCAGTGGTAATATGTCGCACGAGAGACTTCGGGCATTTTATGCATCGAACCATTTTACTACTGCTTTGTCGGTGGCATTCGAACTTTTTCCACATTGAAAAACCTCAAATTTTATAAGTATTATAAGTTTATAAGTTGAAACATGTGGAACCCATTTCCCAGTAGTGTAAAGTGTCAAGAGTTTTAACTGGTGGGGCCAAGCAACAGTCTTAGCTGTACTGTAGCACGAATGGGTCAGGTCTGTCGGAGAAGTGCTAAGATCTCATAGAAGACCAACCTTGAAGTAGAATTGTTATACTTCTGCGTTTTGTCTGGCGAGCGATTAACGCATCTGCAACCCTACGAGTGTTGCAAATGTCCATGGGCGGTTATCACTTAACATCGGGTGAACCACTAGCTTGTTTGCCACCTTCTGATATAAAAAAGAGAGACATATTATCCTGTCAACGTTAATAATGCACTTAATATCTGGACCACATTTCTAAGTTAAAGTTTCCCCGACTTACACTTGTGTTCCGAAATAAGTTTCACACGAGCTACACTTGTAAACAAAGTAACAAAGTTATTTACATTTCAGGTAGTGAACAGACAATTCGTGGCCTGTTTCCATGGCGACGGCAAGATGGCCGCCGTCTGCTGCGGTTTCCAACTTCGCCTCTAGTTCCAAATTGTTCGGGTATTTTAGAAGGCTGTATGTACGAGCGTGCATAATTACATAACATACAACGAGCTATATACCTACGTTCCTTGCTCTAATTACCCGTACAGACAGCAGACGACAAATGTTACTGGAAACAAACAGTAAAATTATTAAAATAAGAATGTATAATAAATTAATTAAGATACCTTACTTTAGCGGTGTAGATAAAGTGTGATATGCTTTTTCATAATTTATTTATGACACACGGAATTAAATAAACAAAGGAGGACAAGACAACAAAATAAAATTGTAGAAAAAATCGAATTCATGGCGAGGTCGCACGGCGGAACATACCAAAGTGTTATCTATCTAAGGTTGGATCTAAAATAGAGGTTAGTTTTCGCTTATTTCATTCTCATGACAACGAACCTTAATCCTTTAAAAGCAAAAAAGGCGTGATTATTTTTATTTTATAACCTTATTATGTTTCTAAATATTGCACTACAAGTAAATATAGCTAATAATGTTCAGGTCACAGTTTCTGTCATTCTTCTGCAGACCGTACGCGTCCTGAAGGATTAGTTAAGCAGGATTTAATAAGAGTTCCTTAGTTAAGTGTAGCGTGAGCGCCTCTATCTAACGCTCTTCAATTTCCACCTATACTGGAAATTGCACGTTCCATGTGTTTAATAGTATGCAGCAAGATTATGCATACATTGCCAATGATGTTAAGAAAAATAAGTGCCCAATATATTTTTTCGTAAAGGCCAATGAAATGAAATACGGACATCGTTAAAATATTACACGTGTCTACTACTGTTCGTATTTAGCGATTTTTTATCACTAAAAAGTAAAGATTGTTTACCATAGTAGATTATATACGTGACATAAATTTACTCATTATGTTTTAGAAAATCGATATTAAAATAAGTTATCAAATACAACTGTGATATGTATTAGTAGTAGAATACGCACATCGAATTATGAACAGACTTGTCATCAATGAAAGCGTTAGTGATCGTTGGCTTGCTTTGATTTTAATTTATATTTTTCGGCTATCGTTTTCTTAATATTTCTGGCAGTGTTTACGCAACGAAATCACGATATAAATATTCTAAATCTATTTCATTAATCCCACCAACCAAAATTAAAAATGTATCGGTTTAATTTATTTACTTTACATGTTGCTTTTAACTGTAAATCGTTAATTAATTTATTTTTTGTTTCTCTATACTCTAATAAAACTAGTCCACGCGGTAAGGTGCCAAAAACGTTAGCTGTATTTTCTCGCTGAATAGTTATGTTTAACCTTTGAGCGAGAAAAGGACTACCCTCCTGTCATGAGATACCTCGTTAAGCCTAGGACGTGAAGCTTTCAATAATTTCGATGTACGGTGACCCCACCATCGATGATGTTCTGATGGACAGCTTTGCTGCCGGGTTCTTTTTAAGGCACAATTACTTTTTGGAATCAGTTGTTAGGTAGACCTCACAGAAAATCAGCGAGAAGTGAAAGTATTATACTTTCGCGTTTCGCCTGGTGAGTGAGGTAACCGGGGCCTACTTTTTTAAAGGTTGCCAGGGCATCTGCAACCTGTAAGGTGTTGTAGGTGTCAGTGGAATCGGATGAACCGCCTCTTTGGTTTGCCACTAAAAATTACGTGACACGAAATCAGTATTCGTTAATTTAGTTCGTGGCGCTGTTGGCGTCCTACCTGGTCTTCCGCCGGCGGTTCCGATTGAATAAAACTTATACGGCGCGGGGAGGGAAGGTGACGGATATTGATATCCGTTATCCGGCGATCGGCCAGGGTACATCGTGTGGGGACCCGGATATTGTTGGGCCTTTGGCGCCGACACGCAGGATATTGCGCGACTTTTATCATAATACATCGCGTCACTAAACGTCGTGAGCGTATACTATAAGATGTTCAGCCTTAGTATAAAGTATGATAAAGTTTCTGCTTTTCTCCCCCTTTAGAACTATATATAGAACCTCCTCAAATAAAAGTCACTGCGTGGCTCTGGATGTATCGATCTAGCACGGGTGAACCAGCACCTTGTAGTAAACATATGTATGTATTTACTAAATATTAATGTATATCTCTTTCAATATGGTATAATTTCGTGGATTGTTTGTATTATTTGAATATAAATGTTCATCTACGGTGCCGATATTCTTTATTTTCATCGGTATGAACTTTATTTCAAATATTATCGGATACTGTATTGAAGTTCATCATATAAGTTTAAAGTCGATTGAACTTCGCAAGTGAGCTTGAGATGCATAAGATGTATCGTAAATATGTGCTGTTGAATTTTAAACTATCTGGAATTAGTCCAGGACGTGACTGAGAAATTATAGACCGTAACTAATGGAGAATGCAAATTTTGATCTAAATCTAGAATTAATAACAAAACAGTGAAGCCCGAAATCGATTTAATTAAGCTCGGCGAGACCTTGACAGTGTTATCTTGTTTTGTCTGTTAAGTTTAGCATATGAGTTTTCATTAAAACGGTGACTTTAATAAAATCGTTACAACGACAAGCGTCGACAGAATTACTCCGAAGCTCAACCGGTCCCGCCACAAAGGTTCGTCTAAACGCCGAATTCGCTCGACACACTCGCCCGGCGGGGGCCACCCGCCATTAGGGGGGGCCCCCCACGCCGGCTCACGTCTATCCATTTGCCAGCTAGTTCCGAGCTAAATTAATTTCAAAGCTCCTTATGTTACGTGCCTTGCGGCTTTGTCGCGCGTGTGTGCGTGCCTCGCTCGCCTCCACGTACGATCTACTTTCGGAAGGCTTAACTGTATGTACACAGAACTATGTGCGCCGTATAGCCTTCGGGATAAGGACAGCGCCCCGTTACTGGTGAATTTGGGATAAATTGGTCTGCGCGAAAATGGCCACTGAGCCCTTATCCGTTCCCGTTGTAAATAACTGTTTAATTGACTTTGTAGAAAGTTTTCGTAATTAATTATTTAGATAGACTGTTATAGAAGCAACATGTAGTTAATATATTACATAGATTGAAAATAAAATCTTGTACTCGAATTATATTGTTGTCATTTGCTTTTTTCCATTGATCTCAAAAACCCTATGACGGTGGAAGAAAATCTGTGTCACGGGGAATTACCAAACATAAGTCACGATTAAAACCACACTTGACACGCAACAACTTTTTGCCAATCACATAATTTTTTTCCGGTGGGTGTGGGGATCGTTTTCACAGTTGTCGCTGAAATTTTAAGCCATTGTCCCATCCATGTGGTCATAGTATGATAATTACGGTCAGGTGACCTGAATGCTGCTTGACCTACTTTTCCATAAAAAAAAAACACCCAGTATAATTAAAATAGCTCAATTCCAGTACATATTTTTTTGTTTTAAGTCTCAATTAACTTTGAATTATTTCGTTTATTCGTTCTCAATATCATAATTACACATATTCTGTTGTGAGTTCTTCTCAATATTGACCGAGACGATTTGCCAGACGTGTCCCACTTCTTGGAAAGGATTGGCTTCGAGTTGAGTTCATGTTCGTAAGTTAATTTATACGACGGGCAACAAGCCCAAAGACATTTATTAGTCTTGCCGCTCCGAGTTTCAGCGGTTTATATTTTATTAGTGTCGTGAACGAGAATAGAATGGTGTTGTATATTGCTAAAGATGTATATGATGATGAAGTGTAGAAGTGATTTATTTCTTTTATAGTAAAGTCAGCGGACCAGCCAGTCATATGACATCAGCGATTATTGCCCCCCATGGACATTTTTAACACAGGAGAGCTGGAAATAAGTGCTTTGCAGTTTTTCTGCCTGATGGTCTTTAGATGCGATATGTTATTTTATGTATGTTCTTCTAGCAACAGCTGGAGCTTCAGCAGATTCAAAAGATTTTATATTCGGAAGAGGTGACAAACGTCGACGACGAATTTTCCGGAACACCAAAGGAGCATAGACTGCCTTGGTCAAGTATGAGACAATTAATTCCGCAGCAAAAAAGTTATGGAATCATCATCAATATATATATATAATCGGAATCTCGGAAACGGCTCCTGCGATTTTCGAGCAATTTAGTATGTGCGTAGATTCGGGGGCGAAAAATTGATCTAGTTTCATTTTTAGAAAATGTCCTTGTATCCCTGTTTTCATGGAATGAAAAATATCATTCGAATATGACGGTAAATTTCGCCGAAAAAAATATTATAATAGCTCGGTCGGTAATCGGGCGGCCCCGAAACATAAGACCGCGGTTCATGTCACGATCACTTTTTTTCTATACCAGATCATTGCTTTCTTTATTTTTTATTTTTTTTTATTTCCAAAATACACGAATTACCAAGAAAAAAAATCCGAGCCAAGCTTGGTCCTCCAGATACTATTTCTTTAAATGTTGATGATTGTTTCCTTATTTGCTTGCAATAGCTGATAACGGGAAATGAAAAGGACGAAACTGCAGATGGAAATTTAAAAAAAGTAACTATAATAAATTTAAACAAATTTAGGTACATATTTTGGATTAAAAAAAATCTAAAAACTCAAATTGACGATAAACAGCTCGGAGTAAATGGGGATATTTGTAAGTTGATATGGGGCTGTTTTTAGAGAATAATGTGGAAAAATATTGTAACATTGATGACTCCGTGGCGCAGTTGCCAAGGTATTGGCTTCGGCGTCGGGGGTCGTGGGTTCGATTCCCACACGGGACAACTATTTGTTTGACCCACGGATAGTTTCGCATCTGGGTGTTTGTATGGATAAACTCAAAATTTTCTTTAGACGTATCATACATATTATGTCTTACAACATATTGGTCAGTTTTGTCTTAATATAATTAGAATTCATCTGAATTATAGGCAAAAATTCCACTTGTGGTTAACCAGTTATCTAGCTGTGGTACTTTTATAAGGAAAATATGATCCAGCATTATCTTTCATCCTGTCCCGTAAATCTCCACACGTTGGTGAATAAATAAATTGACAGGCCCGACGATACGAAACGGATATTACATCGCTCCGGGTAATATCTTGCGAAATTGATAAATAGGGTGCCTCTTACACGTAATACGCGTATACAGACTTCTTTTAATTACCAGAATATGAAAAGCGAAGATTTCAAGTAATTATTGTTAGGTGAGAATTTTACTTAAATTTTTTGTTCTATGGACCGGAGTAATAAATTAATCTTTATTCCAGACATATTTTGAAGTCAAACTCACATATTACCACTCGTTCATTCTACTATTGCATGAGCCTAAAAGACGAAGTATGAGAATATTCGTATTATCATTATATTATAGTATTATATACTCATATTATGATTTATATACGTTTTTTAGTTTTCAGGCACCTTTCTACAGTATCGTGACTAAACGTTAGTAATGACTTTACGTAAGTAATAGTCCTCTGTTAACCATGAAAATAATCCTGAAGAAGGTTTAACTCATTTGAATCAAAATAGAAATCTGGATTCTACACCTTACATGTTTTTGAGCATTGAATACCTCTTAACGTTTCGTATTTTTCGCGTTTTAACTTCTAAATAGAAATCTCTCGTTAAAAACAAAAAGCGGTTGGATTAACGAATTTTCCCACACGCTACCAAAGACAATAGACGCTGGCCGGTCACAAAACGTTCGCCGCCATTTACATATCCGTCACTCGGTACCTGTCAGATGGAGTCCATTATAGCGAACGTCACGATCAAAGAAATATACTGAGATTAATTCGCGCCCCCCGAAAACAATGCCCAGCCGCACGTTACAGAAAGGGTTGACAAAGGCCAACGGAGTTTAGTCTATGACTCTGCATGTGACTCGGGCCCATTGTTTTACGGGCGATTGTGACCAGAAACAATGGCCGAATTAAATTCGTTGCAATGCCATTGTTTTTGGATTTCGAATGTCGTGTTTTTGTTTTCGCAGTCTACGGGTATAGATAGTGAACAATGACGGTTAAAACAATATTCGAATGTGCTCTGATTGAAAATTAGTCCCTCACGAATACAATAACACAAATACTTTGGTTTTAAATTTTAATGCCTTATACTAAAACTCGCATAAGGTATGATCTGAACTTAAAACATTGGACATGGCATTGGACATTTCGTGAAGGCTCTTAGATAAAGCAGATTTTATATCTAAGAAACGTGCGGTCAAAAAAAAAAAAAAAAAAGAGCAATTCGAATAAAAAGAAAATAGGCAAACACAAAAGTAGCGGGAATGTCTTTTTTCTCTCTGTATCTGAGCACCACGGTGCGGCTTCAAAAAGTCTATCGGAGTGGAATATTCAGTTCGTCAAATGTTAATCAGAGGGAGGCATTATACATTATGGTTCAAATATCAAAAGTACACCCGCTACGAGAATTCTATCGCTAGGAGAAATGGCAAAACAAAATGTAAAAGAAGTAAATTTCAAAATTCAAAATAACATGTGTACACCTAACGCAATCCATAAATGCACGTACAACAGTTTTACACCAATGTCAAATTAAAAAAAAATTACAAGATTTTTTTTTTACAAAATGTATTCAAAGCGAAGCGGCAAAGGTACATTCGAAATATACACCATTACTCTAAAACTCTCTCCGAAAGTTTCAAGCTACATGAGCCCAAATTCTAAACGAATGTTTCTCGCGGGCACGAATAAAAAAAAGGAAAAGTTATAACCGCTGAAATCACATTTCACTTTTTGTGCAAAGAGAGAACACTTGCAAAATCCCAAGCACGCGGGCCTACTCCAAATTATTTTATTCTATTAGGCGGTCTCTCGTTGAATAAAGAGCTTTATGTGAATATGATTAGGGTTTATTACGGAATACTGCATGGCGACAAAGAGTTAAAGATTTAATACACGTGTAGAGCGCTAGTTGGAGCGGGCTGTAACAAGGCGAGGCA